GAGATCGGAGGGTTTTTTTTGGGGCATCGCGCTTACATCGGATTGGTTCGAAAAATTAGCTTCCACTCATTAATCCGGGTTCCCAGTTCTTTAGACGCGTTCGTTAACACACAGCTTATTTTTTTCCAAATGCCTTCTCTTGCACGGGTGCTAAGGCGTTTTCGTCACCGTTTGCTATAACTAGCACAATAAAAATGATAAAAGTCTTTTCTTTCGAATTTTGAGAGTTGGTACAATTGTAGAATTCCAGCCTTTTTACTCTTCAACTTTCTGTCTATTGGTATGATGTCTAGCGTTATCTCATTTACCAAATAAAGGTAATTTGTTCTTAAGGCTTATTTGCTATGCAAACCGAGGCGGGTATTAGCATCACACGCCAGATAAAAAGGTTCTTATTTTGAATAATTCCTACTTTTTTCTCCTAACCAGACGATTGGAAGTACAAAATGCGATCGCTGGAAGACAATTTTAATTGCCTGACGTTTTGGATCCTGTCAAGAAGACTTCACCAGACGTTACCGTACAATGGATTGATACATGGACAGATTACGCAGTAGTGCTAGCTATTAGTGACAATGTGATCGCATGCACGCTATAATTATCATCGCCCTTATCCACTGATAGCCATAGCGCGCATGCGGTCACTTGGCCACCATGAATTATAAATAATGTGCAATCTATGCATATATCACCCTAATCTATGCACGTTTCAGTCCTTTCTACGGTTACCTCAAAAGAAGGCTTCTAGATAAAATAAGAAACGCCAGACAAGTAAATCTATTCTTCCAACAATCACATGTTCTACTTCTGGACTGCTGTCTGGAACTCGTATTTTCACTTCTATGTACTCAGTATAATTTTCTTTAGCAGAATACATCTTAACCGCCTGTGTGAGTATTATATTCCACCTAGCCTTCATATTGTTTCATATTTCGTAAACCTCTTATACTAAAAAAGAAGCGCGAATGAGTTCACACTTTAATTTAATACCCAGCATGACGAAGTTTAGTTTACTCCACAAAGTGACATTTAGTCGAACCTTGATTATCATGTATAAGTTTTTGTGTTGCGTTTCATTTATTGTTTTGATCGCTTGCAATGGAAAAATTTGCCGTACCATTTACTGTCAGTGAGGCCGTTGCTGGAGACGTCCTCAACCTTGTGCACACACCATGACGGACGTAAGGGCGGTACCTCGAGTGTTTATGAATTTTTAATTGGCCTGTTCTCCATTTGCTACGCGCCTTCTCCCTCATATCCCTTTGTCAAGTTTCCATGCAGTGTCAAGGCTGGATGTAACCCATTTACCTTGCCAAATTAAACAGTTTGTCTGCGCATGACCCAATCCCTTGGTTTGTGAAAAGACTGACAGGCATTCATTAGAATAGCGAAGGTGATTACTTCGATTTCAATGGAGTAGAAATGTCTTAGAGGTCATAGAAAGAAGGAGATATTGTAGCCTAAATGTCCAACCTAATATGAATAAAGATGTATGCTATCTGGTCAACGGAAAAACGCAGGGCTCTTTGCCGGAGTCTCGTACTTCATATAATTAGAATAATAGCTATTCACATAATTTCGATTTTATAAACCCCGCTGGGCATGGTGTACTTTCTTACCTGAGTATCCAGTCAAGCTTAGCATTCTTAACACACGACTGGTAGTGACTTTTTAAAACGTACATTATCTCTGCTATATTGATAACCTTCCTTTCGCCTTTCAAAGGATTCGTTGATGGCTTGCGTAACTAATCCTCTACGGTGTGACCGCTTTAAGTCCCCCACCTTGTGCGAATCTGAAACATAAGCGTTGAGTCTTTGAGGTGGGGTCATGTACACTCCCAAACCACTATGCCCAGCTTCACTTACCGACATTAAAAGCAAGTCAAATAAACTTGTTACACCTGGCTTTCATTTTGATCCTACCGTCCACCACATTGGTTATTTTAGTTTATATATTTGCCAACCCTCTCCACGAATAGAGCTACAACAACGCAACCTGGGCCCCTTGGGAGGTGGTTATTCAGCGTGCTCAGACAAACTACCCTAGCAGACTTCAGGACATCGAATTTACAATTGGGAACGCCTCGGATTCGCAGACTTGCGATCATTGTTACAACGGTCCCCTTTTTCCTGGAACTGCGTACAGGTATGGTTTTGACGTTAGCCCAACTTCAGTAAGTAAGTTCCCGCAGTTTGTCTGAGTGCCTATGTTGTACAGCTTTTTATGTTGGCTATTGGATAAATGACACCACCTGCAATGGAAGCATTGCATTTATTGATTTCTACGCATTAGATATTTTTTTTAAATTCGTAGGATTGGCTTGGTCGTCTACACGGAAAGTGGGTCAGGGAGAACCAGGCTAGTCAACCACAAGACATTGCGTAAGATATTATTTCTCTCAATTTTCGATTTTTTTTTCTGAAACAGTTTGACTTGTCATAGGTGCACTTCATGCAAATTGTGTGATTGTGCATAATTCTTGTCCGTGCGGCTACGACTGACCAATTGATAAGTGAATATGCTTTCCGTTTCCTGCTGCGTAGTGACTTTGTAAGTATTTATTTTACCAGAAGAGTACAACCGTATAAATAAAGATCAGGTATAAAGGTACGAGCCTGCAAGACTTCTGTTAAGCGAGAATTAAAACTACTTCCAGTCTTCTAGCGGTTGTATGCGTCAGGCGGGGTGCTTGGTCGTTCACTGATTGCAATAACAATTTTTTAAAAGTTTAATTTTAAATATTACTGTCTTACTAATAAGTTGCTCGCCTTCAGGTCCCATTTCAGTCCACGAATTTGAACAAAAACTGAAATGCACATTCTACATTTACCGGTGTTTTCCACAGGCAATCACCTTGCATTGGCCCCACAGTTGCACGGTAGTAGAGGGTTAACTCGGGCTGGTAGAGGCTGACTGAAACGCGTACACAATCTATGTGTCATCTGCTGCATGACTTTAATGCCTGAGCCCGTCTTTGGTCTACTTTATAGGGCTTGGCTATCTTGACCTGGTTCGTGCGTCTGCCTCCCGGTGAAGTAATCCATGTGCCGACTTCCTGGCTGAATATGCAGGCCGAATGTAGCCACGCCTGTAGCGAAGCAGTTTCTCGGTGACCTAAACAACTACACTAAATATAAGGATCTGATGTTGGTCTGCATCCAACCGGCGGAGGCTGCAACTGTTGGGCGTATGTAGTGTGATGACTACACATAAACGTCTGCATACAGTTATAGTAAACATCCAGGAGGTGCATTGTGGCATTAAATTATTGCGGGAAGAATTATTCCACCGTACCCTCCTGAAGTGTGTTATCCGTTTGATTTGCTATTTCCAGCGTCATATGTGCCAAAAATTGCGGCTGTTCTGGCACCAACCTTTGGAACATTGGAGGTGCACTGGTGGAACCCAAGCAATCAGACTGGAACATTGTCGTCGTCGACGGCAATTGCACTACAGTACGGGAAGCGAGCAAATAATTGTTCCGACACAACTGCAGCACCATCCAAAGCGAACTGTACACTCAGCGGCCTAAGGAACTATACAAAATACGAGATTTTGGTGGAGGCCTGCATCCGACCAACAGGAGCTGCGCAGATTATAAACTGCACTAACAGTACTATTTCAATGAACCGTACTCTTCCAGGGGGTAGGTCGTTACTTTTGAATTGTTTTTCGAAAATATATTTGCCTCTCCAGTCTGGTATTTACTTTTCAAATGGGCAGTAACATGGATACTTTCTTTTATGCAGTACCGATGCGGCAAGCATTCTGACTGTTAGTACGCCAACACATCGAACATTAGAGGTGCATTGGAGAAATCCAAATAACAATAATGGTGAACTATATTTATCAACGGCAATTGCACTGTTGGGCGGGAGGAGAGAAGCACATGCTATGGTACGAATGCAACCTCGTCTCTAGCCAACTGTACGCTCAGCGACCTAAGGAACTATACACGGTACGAAGTGTTAATTCAAGTGTGCACCCGACCAGCGGCAGGTGAACTTGTTGGAGGTATGGAGAGAGACTACTGCAGAAACAGTTCTTCTCAGTGGTCTCGTACCCTTCTAGGAGGAAGGTTCTACCCTGAATTATTTTGCGAACACCATTTTTTCTTATCCCTCGTAAAACGCGATTTGCTGAAGGGGACTTATACAGCCGTTTTAGCCGGATGCGAAAAACATTACTGTGTTCTGAGATGTGAGGTTTTAACGCCTGCATATTTGGATTCAATCTCCATCGCATAAACGAATAGGACAGGTGGTGAAGTTACAACGTGTTCGGCGTGTTGTTACTTAAAAAGCACATGGTCTTTACAGTAGCCACTTCACCTTATTAAAATGCCTCACTGCGGACGTGGGAAGCGGAATTGCCAGAGTGAATTAACCCTGGCCTGGCCAAATCCCCACTCAGAGCATTATCATATTCAACGTGAATGCCTGTGGCTCTGTACCTGAATGTTTGATCTTGGCTCCTTTGAGTGATCCGCGACTTGAGAGTGGCGTCATTGCTCCTTACCCCCGTCGTTCGTTCTTGACCATTCGCAACTGCGATAATCTTGTCTCTGTGACATAGTGTATCAGGCCGCAATAAAAAATTGACAAAGAAACTGTTGCCCTAAGACCCCATCGTTTGCTGGCTAAGGGCCGTCATCGAAGTGGTTGCGATATCATTTCCGTTGAAGCTCTGTCACTTCTTATCCTGCTAATCAGTTCCCTTATGAAAGGCAGCTTTGTGGCTGATTAGTTAGATGGGTATATCCGTGCGAGTGTTTCCCCCAACGTGTGCAAACCGCACAAAGGTATATACAGAAGTGTTATACTTCTTCCTGATGGTTTAATTCATCTTCAAAAGAGAATATAAAGGTTGTCATGTTTATGTGTTCATTTTCCTTTGAAATTGGCGAACGCAAACTTGTGGTTTGGTGTTGGGTTTTCTTAAAATCTATTGACCAGATATCGATTTGTCAGTGCGAGGCTACGCAGAAGTTGCCAATGCAAGCAGTGCAGTGAAATGATGCCACCTCTCAAGTTGCGGCCCATTCGACGATACCCGGCCATACATTCAAATTTGATGAGTCCGAAATTCTCGCAAGAGGTGACACTCAAGTGAGCCGAGAATTACGTGTGTCATGGTTCACGAGCCCCCAATCCATCAACAAATGCAACGATTTACCCAATCCAAATTCGGTGTTGAGACTAAATTTGGCCAAAGCAAACCGCCAGTTGGGGACCAAATGTGCCACTACATCATCTTATGCCAACACCGCTAGGCCAGATGGTCATGGCTGACACGACGAATGAGAACACACTCAGGAGATTTATCGATTTTTCTGCATGTCTAAATTTTACGGCGGAACCCTGTGCACACACTAACTGTATCTGCTACTGTTTTGTGACGATGGCTCTGAAGATGAGTCCGAGACGGATTTCGGAACGTCAGAAAAATTAGCACAGTTTCCCAGCGATCGAGTTGTCTTCCATTTCTCTAGTCAGAAGTGTTGGTGTAAATAGTTGCTGTGCATTTTCGGATTCATATTTCCAGCGCACTAATTTGAAATCCCAGGCTTGGACTAACGTCAACGACTGTGCTGTTTTTCTTTTGAAAAAAATTTGTTCTTTGAAAAGACATGCGATTTTGTGAAGTAAGGAAGCCGTTTTCAAGTAGATGCGTACAGTATAGCATTTAATTCGTTTGAGAACCCAGCGAGACCGCATTTTCCGTTTGGTGGACGAATTGGTAAAATCGGGAGGGAATGTTTCGCGGTTATCCTCGAAGGCCGGCGTTGGGCAACCAACGTGGCGTCATCTCCAGCCAGCTGTTGGCTGATGAGGTTAAGAAATTTTACACTGCCGTCACGTTGAGGTGTAGCTTACTAACAGATGATTGGGAACGCCATTTGTTGCGGGCAGTAACAGAAACTACTGCACAAACGTCTGCTCTCTTTCAGCAGACGCCGATGGGAGACAGGTTGGCGATTTTTTTTTATGATTTTACCTGAATATCCTTTTCTGTTCCCTATTGGCAGATATATTCCTAAAAAAGGGATTGATTAAGTGGGTTTCCTTTCTACAGCTCCCGATGCAGCCACCAAGTTGGAGGTTCATACAACGAGCTATGACAAATTGGAGGTGAACTGGACGAATCCAAGTAACAGGAATGGTCCGCTGTCATCATCGAAGGCCTTTGCTCTCTTGAAGGGTCAGTGGGCAGCTGCCTGCGAGGTGAAAGCTGAGGCCTTATCTGCAGCAAGCTGTTTGCTAAAGGGATTAGGGGCCTTTACAGTGTACGATGTTGTGGTAGAGGTCTGCACTGGACCAGGTGGTGACAGTAACTATTGCAAAAATGCGTCCTCTGCAGATCATCAGACGCTGCCTGGAGGTAGGTGTTTCTTTAAATGCTTCCCTCCTGATTTTGCTCCCATCTCTCGTGCCGTCTGCATGTCCTAAAAGATATCCCTTAACAGTTGACGTTTGCGAAACTTGCTATGGTCGTCTTTTTATCCCAATCACGATATTTACTTTGAATTTAGTTGCAAGTCACTGAAGGATTTGATTTATTTGAGTGTTAAAGTATGGCGTATTGCTAGGCGCAGCCAATCCCTTGTCGGACGCAGTAGGCCACGTCACTTGTGTATGGATAGCGGCGAGAGAACTGTTACCGCACTAACGTGTTGTCAGAACGTCATCATCTAGCCTGTACGACTGTGTTGAAAATGAAGAGGAATTGGACA